GACAGACAGACAGACAGACAGACAGACAGACAGACAGACAGACAGACGAAACAGTTTGTATGAAGAAACAGAAACTCACCGACCAAACAGAGCTCTGGCCAAAGCCAACCTCATCCTCCATCCTCCTGAGAACTCCCTGAACACAGACACTCATGTTACCATGAATACATACGGTACAACTGTGTGTGTGTGTGTGTGTGTGAGACTCACTTGGTAGTCTGCTGTTGCATTTTGGGAGAAAATCCAAGACCGGCCAGGATGACGGAGGCTCTGATTGGATGAGACAGATGTCAGTCAGAAACACATCAACAGGAGGGAGGAGCTCTGACTGTGCACAGAAGTCATAGTACTGTAAAGTACTTCACTGCAGTACTATGACTGAAAAAGGAAGTAGAGCTAAACAACAACCAACTGACTGAAGATGAAGAACATGCTGTAGGAAGGAAAGAAACATTATTATAATGAGAAATTCATAATTTGATGTTTCACAAAGTATCTAAAGTTCCCCCAAACCTGTTGAAGGGCTGACAGATGAGTGTATCGAGGTTAGAGTTATAAGTGTGTAGTTACAGTCAGAAGTATATGCTGCTCTTCTCATCCTGTGACTCTCTGCTTCTTTGGTTCATGTGATAATAATCTCTACTACAGCCAATCACACACCGCCATAGACAAGGCGATTATATTATTATATAGTGTTATAGTTCAGTATAGTATTATATATTATAGCTTAGTATATTTAAGTTTACTGTAGTACAGTATTGTATTTTATAGTATAGGATTGTATTTTATAGCAAAGTACAGCTATGCTATGCTGTACTTTGCTATGTACTTTGCTATGCATAGCATAGCATAGCATAGCTACCGGGCCGGAGCTTTGTCTGCCTCGATCTCCTCCAGCTTTGCGTAGATCTCCGTCAGTCTGACGCTCTCCAACCCGTCAGCACTGAAACAAACAGAACAACACGAAGTGAGCATGACAGGAAGAGACTGACAGCAACTGCCTGCTGAGGCTCATGGGTAATGTAGTGTTTAGGGCCTTTCTACAAACTGAGGGCATAAAGGAACAAAACAACTGCACTTTGAGATAAACATATATTATGTAGTGTTATATATAATCTACACTAATATTAATAAAGGTGCATCTCTCACGTTCCGTTGGCGATGCGAGCGTTGAGCGTCTTCTCCTCGCTCAGCAGCCCTTCTCTCAATGTGTCACTCGACAGGACGCTCTGCAGCGCCGCCGTCTCGTCTCCGGCCACTTCCTGTTCCACGTGGAGGATGGAGATGTGAGTCGGGACCCGGAGGTTACGACTGGCCAACATCTTCAGCAGGGTCGTCTTACCCAAACCGTTACGGCCAATCAGACCGTAGCGCCGACCCGTCGCCAGAGACAGCTCCGCCCCCTGAAGTAAACACCTGGACACAGAAGTATATACGTCATAAACTGAAATATATACATTATATATGATTATATACATGTTGGATAAACTCACCTTTCTCCAAAGGAAACATCAAAGTTCTCGATGCGGATGTCGTAGCTCCGGTTCTTCCCTGATTGGTCGACTTTGTTGTCCTTCTTACTGCTGGCCTGACTAGCCGACGCCTCCTCCAACACTCTGTGAGAGACAACACAGGACAGGTGAGGACAGGTGAGAAGAGCACAGGGCGACTGTGGCAGGGTCGTCCGTCAATCAGAGGATCGGCGGGTCGATCCCCGGCTCCAATAGTGGTCAAGACACTTCACACTTTACAGGTGTGTACAGGTGTGTGTACAGGTGTGTGTACAGGTACTGACAGAGGAGTGGAGGGCTTCAGACAGTCCTTCTCATTGCGGCGGTCGTGTTTCGCTCTTAGTTTGGCTTCGGCCTTCTCCAGTTTCTTGGCGTCCACCGTCTGAAGAGACACAGGAAGTGATGCATTCAGTGACAAAGTCACATGTTCAAATCCACCAATCAGAGTTAATACTAGAAATACTAGTAGAGGATTATTTTAGTGTAAATTCATTACAAGAGACGTACTGTGTTCTGACCACGTTTCATCATCCAGATACCTTGAACATCGTCTGTTGCACAAACTAGACCGACACACAGTCACATAAATGTGAGTTAATATCAAATATTGTTACAAGTTAAACTACAGTAAAATGTGTCAATATCACATAACTATTGTTTCTTACCGTTGTCTGCAGATATCTGAGAGAGCTGAACTGGAGCGTCCAGCAACACCTGCCTCTGAGTGCCATGATGGTTGTTCCTGTTTAACGCACACAAGACAAGTTCATGCCAACGGAAACACAGAGAACACAAGGTACCGTCGGGAATAACATACGTGTTATTCCCAATGAAAATGTGTATTAACCTCGACAAAAACAATTGTTATTCCTGACAGAAACACACTTTAATGAGTTTTAAACATCTGTCTCTGTAAAGCTAACAGAAGACTTGTCTGTCTTACAGTTTGAGAGTGTTGAACATCTGGAGACAGATGTCTTTGACATCGTCCTCGTTTTTACTGTCAGCAGAAACTCCCTGCAGGACTCCTCCGACGGCCTCATAAACCTCCTCCCCATCCTCGAAATCTCCTCCACAGCTGCTTAACACTCCTGAAACACACATATTCAGATGGACACACATCACACACCTGCAGACACACCTGTTCAGGTGTGTTAACACACTGTGTAGTCCCTAACATAGGGATGGGAGGTCACTCAACATTTATCAGCTTTATTATTTATATATTTACAGTGTTTATTTCATGTAAACTATTTACAGGGTTAGGGTTACCTATAATACTGCCGTAACACTTCCTATAATACTACCGTAATACTTCCCATAATACTACCGTAATACTTCCCATAATACTACCGTAATACTTCCCATAATACTACCGTAATACTTCCCATAATACTACCGTAATACTTCCTATAATACTACCGTAATACTTCCTATAATACTACCGTAATACTTCCTATAATACTCCCGGTAATACTTCCTATAATACTCCCGGTAATACTTCCTATAATACTCCCGGTAATACTTCCTATAATACTCCCGGTAATACTGCTGTATTACTTCTGGTAATACTCCCTGTCCTACGTCTTAATAAAACTTCCAGTACCACCTCCACGGTTCTGGTCCAGTCTCACCGGTCTATGAAGCTCAAACAAACCAGGGTTCAGGTCTCAGATCCCGTCATTGAGCCATGCATGAGTACCGGTTAGCATTAGCCATCTTAGCTCCTTAGCTCTTTGGAGCTCAGAGCGGCGGCTGCCTGACTAACAGGCCGATTAACGGCTCCTCCAGCCAGACAGACACCGGTTCCATCCCCGCTAACAGCCGCTCTATCCCCCGCTACTCACCGGTAATGTAGTCGAAAACCTCCGTGTCTATCTCTGGAAACTCGCTCTTCAGGATGTCCACGTACGTCGCCATGATACCCGGCCCTGGACAGTGCTGTCGCGGACACGCATGCGTCAATATGCGACAGCGCCGGCAGCAGGGGATTCTGGGGGATGAAGTTTTGTTGTGTCGGTTGAATAATTGACGTCAGGTGATAAATAATACAAATGAGGCAAAATGGAAAGAATTTTGTTGTTTTGTTCTGTTATCATAATGAATATAAATATCTAAATATAATATAACAAAATAAAACTAGAAAATGCATTTCCTGCTGAAAATGCGTTGGAATGCTGAAAGCTGAAATTAATTGTAAAACAATTGCTGAAAATTAAGAAATGGGAGACTACCCGTCTGAAAAATGTTGAAGCCTGAAAGCATTCAAACTGCACTGCTGAAAACCCTTCTACTTGAAATGTCTAACTATGGTGTCTGTAGCTGAAATTATGAGGAAGAAGAAGGCTTTGAAAGTTGAAGAAGTTTAACAGGATTTGAAGATTTTCTCCATAGAGATCCCTTTCAAAAAAATTTGCAAATAGCTTAATATTTCAAAAAATTTAAAGATTACAAATATGAAAAGTCAAAGCACCCCTCTCCTGAAAGAGCTGAACATTTTGATATTCAAATGGTTTCCGTGGCTTAAAAAATGTCAGCAGTAGTGATATTTGTAGTAGTAGTACTAGAAGTTGTAGGAGAAGTATTATTAGTAGTAGAAGTATTAGTAGCATTAGAATAAGTAGTAGTAGTGATATTTGTAATACTAGTAGTAGAAGTTGTAGCATAAGTATCATTAGTAGTCGAAGTATTAGTATATCACACTTTAGAATAAGTAGTAGAAGTAGTAGTACCAGTAGTAGTAGTAATAGCTGTAGTAGTGGTCGTAGTATTTAATATAACAGTAGTAGTAGTAGTAGAAGTAGTAGTAGTACCAGTAGCAGTCATACTAATAGCTGTAGTAGTGTTAGTACTGGTAGTAGCATGAATAGCAGTAGTAGTAGTAGCAGTTGTAGTATAAGTAATAGTAGTAGTGGTAGTGGTAGTAATAATATTGATGGCATCAGTAATAGCAGTAGTAATAACAGCAACAGCAAAAGTTGTAGTAGAAGTAGCAGCATTAGTAGTAGTAATACGAGAAATATTAGCAGCAGTAGTAGTAGTTGTCGCAGTATTCATAAGAGCATTCATTATTTCAACAAAAAAGCCTAATTTTGAGCTTAATGTTTAAATACAGTAAATCCATGGGGCTTTTATTTTGAAAGGGTGGGGCTGGGTGGGGGAGAGAGGGGGAGAGGAGACATAATCTTAATGTTTGACACACATAAACAGAGGTTATTAAATGACAGGCTTCATCACAAGCATTTCAGTTATATTTCACTCTGTGGGGCTTTTATTTTGAAATGGGGTGTGGGGGGGGGGGG